AAGTCTGGCGATTCTAAAAATATATACTTTCCCGGGTCTATTTGTAGTCATTTAGTCACAATTAGAAGATGAAAACAAGTATGCAAATAATAGTCCCGTTACCTTAACTGAATCTTAATTTAGCTAAAGTGTCAGCAATCTCACTGTGAGAATATACTTTATCCTAATTAGCAACATCTTAATTTAGCGAAATTGTGGATTAGCTAAAATAATGTGCTAGCTAAAAATACACGTTTTACAATAATCTGATGTGGGACCTAGAACTTAGTAGAGTCTGTGCCCCTTTATAAACGAACAAACAAAAGCAGCTGATGCTGTGGCAATACATGAAAATTATAATTACTTCAAAATCATGTGCTCTTGGAGAGTTGTAATTATTCTTTTGGGTTGATTTGGGTGGTCAATAAGCAAGTTGGGTGATCACTCGCCTTAGGAAGTAAAATTCAGATACTGATTGTTTCCAACTCCATCATTAATTGTACCACATCTTCAAATTATTTTATCATACTACTACAATAAACACCATCACTGCATAGAACTCTTCTTACTATTGACTTTGCATATTGTTTCTCAGGTGGTATGCTTAAAGTTTATGGTGAGACTTTATTTCCCGATGTGCCTTACAAAACTATATTGGTTGCCATTGACGATGATGCTGGTTATATTGTGCAGGAAGCTTTGGATAAATATGGCAGAGATGAAGAAAATGCATCAGACTATTGCCTTGTGAAGGTATACATCTTTTTTTTTTTTGTGCCAGGCGACAGTTCCGGACATTGAGTGTCACTGTTGTCTCTCCTGACTTTTTTCTGTATGTGCAAATGCAAGTGCAAGTGACGACACATGTGCATTTTGCCACAGAAGTCATATTCATGTTTGGGACTGTCAAATGGCAATTTGTAATGCGATATCCTGGTGTCAACCAGGCCGTCAACACAAGCACCTGCGGACCTTAACCAAGGTTCCCCCAAAGTCGCATTCGTTAGTGAATGAATCTCGGCCAGTGGAATTGGCCTTCCCATTTAGTCTGTGGTACACTCACCCAGGGTAGGGGTCAACCCTTTGATGTTCAGCCTAAGGTAGGATTTGAACTTGGGTCTACCGATCATGAGTCTGGTGCAACCACCACTATGC